AATGGAGGTTGAAAGTAATTCAAAAAATTTAAATAAAAATTTCAAAAAAAAATTAAAAAACAAAAATTCATCAAAAATAATCCCAACTTTCATTTTGTTGCCTAAAACGGGCATTTCCGTTATCCCTCCGTTAGAAACTTAACGGCGACCCAAAACTGGCAAATTTCAGTAAAGTTGGGATTATTATGCATCACAGTGAAAGGTGGGATTATTTTTGAAAACCGAGTAAAGTTGGGATTATTTTGGGTAATTTTTCCTTATTTTATTATAAAAATCTTTACATTTATCTATTAAATTCTAACATCTATTTTACTCACCACGCTTTACACGTATCTCCAAACTTAACAAACTATATACCATTGGTTAACATATTACGAGATCTACCCAAAACCCTAATTTTTAACTAAAATGGTTGACTTTACAATTAATTCATATTTTTGAGTAAATAAATGTTATTTTCTTCTTAATAAAATAACGGCTAACTACTAACCGGTTTTCGGGTCATTACATTTCTCTCCCCCTTAAAAAAAATTCGTCCTCGAAATTCTTCTAAGGTAAAGAGTGAAATTACTAAATGCATTTCAATTTTTTTATCAACTGTATATGTATCCTTTCTTTGTAAAAGAGATCATTTTAATCCTTGATCAAATGTTTTTCTGATTCATCTTTTTTTTTCTAAGCAGTAAAAACGACAATCAAATATATTTTTTTCAAATCAAGAGTAGACAATTTAAGTCAATTTTTTTAAATACCTAACACTATTTTTTTATACAACAAGTTAGTCATTGACAATATTTTCTCGTAACTATATTTTTTTAAGGAAATCACATTACCTTTCTTTTTTTTACATATTACTTTTTTATTGCTCTAGTTTGACACCGAAATAAAATACCTTTATTCATTTGGGTCTGCAGCTCATTCTGATTTCGGTTATCGTTTCAATGATCAGCGAAACTATTAAATTTTTTTATTCACTTTAAGTATACACATTTTAAGAACTCATCTCCTTTTTAATATATTGAATAATCGAACTATATTATTTATTTGTTAAGAAAATCTTTGGAGATGCTAAATCCCAAAATAACATATTTTTGTTTTTTTACAATAATACTTATATTCAAATCTTTATCAATTTGATTTCCAGAGACTTGTCATCGACAGTTAACAACAAAGTCAAACAAATAAAATTTCAAGATTCAATTAAAAATTGTCATCTTTCTTCTTTTTTTGTGAAAAAGTCAATTGTCACTTAAAAGTTTAGCGATTCTGCTCAAAATTGATTGGTTAAACTTGACCACATTTTTTAGAAGTCACCTACGCGTTTGCTCAACATGTGACACATATTGTTATATTTTTTTAATAACATGAACGCACTAGTCATCACGGATAATTACGATATTTTTATATAACCAACGCTATTTTCTATATTATTTCAATCTTCCCTAGCTTATGTTTTTTTACACATGATTTTTTTATAACCTGCAAGTTAATTAACAAACAAATGAACTAACAATCAAGACAACAATTTTCATATAAGCACATTATAAAGATTTAGAGTTACCTTCTGGAATAGAGGAGTTGCGAGAGATGCTGTTGCTGCTGTTGAAGTAGCTTTTTTTTAACAATCGATCTTTTCAACCTTTTTTTGAACAATTTTTCTTCGAAACATTTTTTTGAGACACAATTGTTGTTGAAATTCTTCTTTTGAAGGGGTCCAAAGATCGGGTTTAAAACCACTTGTTCCGATACCAAAATGTAACAACCCAACTCGCGTGACTTGAATACAAGGATCAACGAATCGAGTTGTCACTAAATTGGTATTCAGACATAATAATTTTCAAAATAATTTAAAATATTTTATTCAAAAAAAATATTTGAATATCCATCGGAGTTAACAAAACGGTCCGGAAGCTTTAAAGTACTTAATCAAAATACAACTTGGGTTCTTGCCCTTTAAAACATAAATAATTCAAACTTAAGTATTAAATAATAAATTCCCCAGCAAGCATCCACCCATCTCTTCACCCTCGTTTCCTCCAGGAAAATTGCCTTATTCATCATTCCTGTTACCTACGTGTAGCAGATAGGAAAAATGTCTACACGCTTAACATTGAAGCTAAGTGAGAAATATTTAACGTTTTGACTACACAAATAGACGAACCCACTAGTCCATAACTTCATACAATATCATGCACACTAGTAAACAATATAATATCACATAACAGTCATCAAATAAATTCAAAAGTCACAAATCATTACCTTATTTGTCTTTATTTATAGTTCTTAAGACCATACTTCCTTATTTATAACCTTATCTTCGGACTTAGAGCCATTGCCTATAGTCATGACTCAAGTCTACGTTATTCAATACCTTATGACACAACATAACCTGATGACGAACGAAGGAGTTTGCCGCTGGGTGGGTGGTACCCTTGTCCCCTTCAGAACGATAGTTTGTGGATCTCATACGTACGTTTTAACCCGCACCACCAGATATCGAATTTGCAGGGCTGATTCTACCTATTAACATTTTTACTTAAAATCTTACTAAGGCAGTCCTAGAGTTCTTCTAGGTAACTTAACCATTTATTTACAATGTCTCTATCATTCAGGCTTATTCCAACATAAATCTCAAGTCTTTATTTACTTTTAAAATATACCAAGAATATATTTAATTATAACAAGGCATATAACATTAATAAGCTAATCGATCATACAACACAATTAGTGACCTAGTGTCGCGTGTAAACACCTTCCACTTACCGTCATGCAAATCACACAAATTTGATGTAAGAAAACGTACATGGTCATCCTTGTTCAATCAACTCCAATAATATCATATAATATAAATAAATCATAATTTAATTATAACCAAATTAACCATGTAATCAATCATACGAAACTACGAACGTGAATTTCAAATATATATACGAAATCAATCATATAGAACCTTACCAATTGCATCGCGTGAATCACGAAGACTACATACGATGAATGATGTTACCCTAGAAATACGACACGTGTCAGATATCAACTACACGATAAGGAACTATGATTCCAAAAATATTGTCAAATATAACATATGAACTACTGCAGGACGGAGATGAAATCTAACAAAACCACTCACAATGTAAAGTCATTAAATTGGATACACCAATCTAATGTGAAACACTTGTGCCTGCAAGTGAACGTTGATCGTTGTAACTCGTGATGAGATATTCTTAATGTGCTCAAGTTAAGCAAGGAAACAACTCTCTATGCGTGAATACGATATGATGTTCCGATTGAACGATATACCATGGACATCCTAAATTTAAACCGTTATCAAATAAGAATCTGAAAATATATTGAAGATTGAAGGCTTACAACTGTGATGATAATTTGCAAAAGCTACATTCTTAGCTTGTGACTCATATCCTTGAAATACTCAAACTTGTTGTGTTGACTACACCATTTGTTAACAAGCTGTATGTTATGGGAAACTAAAAAAAAGTTATAAAATTAGTTCTCAGTACAGTGACCGGAACTCTTAAACACTTGTTTGTCATCATCATCAAAAAGGGGGAAATTGTTAGGAAAAATATTATAGATTTTGATGATGATGTATTTAGACTGTAATAGGGACTTTAGGTCTTCCCCAATATTCAATGTAATTTTTCTTTTTAGAAATATTGTTAAAACCGAGTTCTTGAGATTTCCAATAAAGTTGTGATATTTCACTCTGTGGTTTGATGTCAATCTTTGAAGACTTAATCAAATTCAATGATATGGAAATTGGAATTCTTGATTGGATATGTCAGAGACAAGTAAGGAATTCTTAAAGCAGTTGATTACTTTGAAGATTCTCAAATCCGGAACACTTCACACTAACCGGATGTCTTGCAATAACCCGCTAAAGGCTAAGTCATCCGGATCGGAAGACTAGCGCGATCTCTTTCTCACCTGGAAGTCTATGAATGACTTTTCCGGAATTGTCAGCGAAGAACCGGATGCCTCAAGAAAGACCAGAATTCTCAGAAGCAGACAAGTGAGAAAAAGACTTAGAAAATTATCTAAGTCTTGAATTAAGAAATTCTACCCGTTGGTAACAAAAAATCAATCTCTTGATTTTCAACGACTAGAGTGAGGATAATTAAGATGATTCAAGAACAAATGACTTGAAGGCAAAGTCTGGACCTCTCAAATTAAAGAGCTCGTCTAGAATTCCTAAACAAGCACTAGAAGACAAACTGAGTACTCAACTCAATAAAGAACTACAGTTCAGAATTCTTGAACAACAGCTAAAGGACGGATTATGTGAAAAAGGAATCCTCCTTCAAACGATTGGGTATGTCCAAACACCCATCCAAATGAAGAATTCTCAATCTCACTCTTCGTTCAAAATTAAAGCCAGAAAATGCAACGGATAGTCTATTCCCTTCAATGGATAGATTATTCACCCAGCTATATATAGCTTCCACGGAAGACTGGAGAAAGCATATAGATGAGATAGAAATCAAGATTACAACAACAAAAAGCTACATCTATCTCATTCACAGTTAGCCAAAAAGCTTGAAAAAGAGAGATCTCTAAACTCCTTATCTAGAAGAAAACTTCTCCTCTTTCCAAAGAGCTATAGTGTAAACACTTGAAGGTTTCCTTGCCTCAAGTACCACACCACGTTGAAGGATACATCTTTTAATCAAACTTCTTGATTAAAAAGGGGGTACACCAACTTTTCTGCAAGTTGATCTTGCAAGTCCTATTGTTTGGATCTTGCAGTTGTTGAAAAAGCTTGACCTTCGAAGGAACAACACAGCCAGCACGTGTGCAGTAGCAACATTGGCCTAGCGAAGATATACCGTGCTAAAATTCACACAAGCATAATTGTTGGTTCATTATTCAACTACCAACTACATAGTGGATTTTGAGGACGTAGAAGGATTATCCCACCTTCGAACCTCGTTAAAGTTTGCGTGTCTCTCTCTCTTTTATCTTTACTCATACTTGCAATTATATTAAATGTGAAACTAACCCATCCATATTGATTACTGCTCAATTAACCCACCAACTACCGCACACAATCTAAGGTTCACAAGAACTCTAGATTAACACTCATTTTTACGTTTTCAAAATAAACGAAAAAGTTTTTAAATTATAACAAAGTCTATTCACCCCCCCCCCCCTCTAGACTTTGTATCTCACCACTTTGGGACCACCAACAAGATGTTCTAAGACCTCCGGAAATATTACTGGTGGCCTGCGATGAAGAGAGAGATCACGGAGTTTACGGCGCGATGCTTGGCATGCCAGCAAGTTAAGGCTGAGCATCAAGTTCCGAGTAGACTACTGCAGCAGATTACGATTCCTGAGTGGAAGTGGGATCGGATCACCATGGACTTCGTTGTGGGGCTACCTTTGTCGCCTCGCAAGAACGATACAGTTTGGGTCATCGTGGACCGATTGACGAAGTCCGCCCATTTTCTTCTGATACGACGAGATTTCTCCCTACAGTGTCTGGCAGAGTTGTACATCTACAAGATCATACGGTTACATGGAGTTCCCTCATCTATCATCTCGGATCGCGACCCGCGTTTCACCTCACAGTTCTGGAAGAGCCTACAGAACGCTTTGGGCTCTGATCTACATTTTAGTACGGCCTTTCACCCACAGACGGATGGTCACTCCGAGAGAGTCATCCAAATCCTCGTGGGTATGATGCGCGCCTGCGTGATCGATTTCGGGGATGGCTGAGAGCGTTATCTATCGTTGATGGAGTTCGTGTACAACAACAGCTATCAGGCTAGCGTTCGTGTACAACAACAGCTATAAGGTTTTCTTAAAGGTCTCTCGTTGCAAGAGAGTCCTACGTTTCGGCAAGAAGGGAAAACTCAGTCCGAGGTTTATAGGCCCATACCCAATCACTGAACGTGTGGGACCTGTAGCATACAGGCTCGAATTACCACCCGAGTTGAGAAAGATTCACAACGTGTTCCACGTGTCTATGCTCCGAAGGTATCGGTCAGATCCTTCTCACGTGATTCCAGCTGATATGGTCACTCTCGATGAGAATCTTACGTACGAGGAGGAGCCGGTAGAGATCCCGGCTCGTGAGATCCGTCAATTGTGGAACAAAACCATTCCGTTGGTCAAAGTTCTTTGGAGAAGTCACTCCATTGAGGAGGCGACTTGGGAAATCGGAGAATCCATGCGCACCCGTTATCCTCATCTTTTCAGTGACCAATGATCAGGTAAATTTCGAGGACAAAATTTTTATTAAGGGGTGGATAACTGTAACTCCCTGCAACCCGATCTATTAGAATTGATTAATTTAATTATTTACTTACTAACTCGGATCGGGGTTGAGAAAATTAAATCCTTAGAAACATTATTCGATCACGTCATAATGTTTATCTTGACTGTCTGATTCTAGAAATGCAAACGGATCTCGATTCAGACCCGTTTGGGGGAAAAAGCGTGCACCATTCAAGTCAGATTTTACTTTATAAAGGGAAACAACCCCTCATGTAATCCACACACCCAACTCACACATTCACACACCCATTCATTTTCCTTATTAACTTCCTTCATCATTTCTCATTACTCTCTTAAATATAAACCCCCTCCCCATTCATTCTCCCCTTACCTTGGTAACCCCCAAGGCATTCAAACACCACAACTCTCTCTCTCTCTCTCTCTCTCGTTTCGGCCAACCCACAGTAAAAGCCAGGCGAGGAGGTTTCCTGCGATAAGGAGAACAAGAAGGGAGAAGAGAAGAAGGCCTACGCGTGAGGCCGTTCGTTGTCTGTTCGTTAGTCGTTCGTTCATCCGTTTCCATTTCGTCAATCCCTGCGTTAGAGGTGAGTACGTTGCCCTCTAACTTTAGAGTTCATAGTATAATCATATCGTTATATTCATAGGATTACCCGACTAAATCTACGTAAGTCCGCATTATCATGGTTTCCCTGTTATTTAGACTATTCGATTACCAACTTGTTAATATAGACGTTTGAAACCTCGTACATTCATAAAATTACTTAACATGGAAATATAAACATTCAGATCGAAAACCTCCAACACAATAGTTATAATCAAATAGACAAAACGAGAATCTGCGAGCCATGATGATCGAGTTACAAGTCATGGTAATCGATTAACAGGCTACGCTAGACTTCTCGTTGAATCAGCAAGGTGTGACAATCGATTATCACATGGGTGATAATCGATTATCAGACCTTGCGGATTCCTGAGCCAAAGCTGGTTTCACATGATAATTGATTATCACAGAGCAATAATCGATTATTGGCCTCTTAGAACTTGGGTTTCCTGGACAGATCAATGAAAATCTGCATCTGAAATACTTGACCACCTCTCCATTCTCATATTTGAAGCTGATGATGAGGACCCGACAGTCTACAAACCAATTCTCTCAAAACCAACTGAAGATCAGACTGTACTCACCACTGAAGCACATGCTGACATGGAAGCTGGAGCTGAAGATTTCCATGTTTTTCCGGAAACCTCACCTGCTACTGTTCTGCCTGAAGCTGTCCAGGAGAATGTAGCTACTCCCCAGCAAGAACAGATTCAAACAGCATCTGAAGAAGAGTTTCTACAATCCCTACAATTTCAGGTTCAAGAGATTCTCTCAACCCCTTTTGAGATCTCCAACACAACAGAACCTGAAATTCCTGAAGAGTCAAAAGAGAATCTAGAAGAGTCATCTCTTCCAGACACTACAAAGGAATAAGCTCATGAAGAACAAGCAGTTGAAGTACAAAGAAGCTTTGAAGAAGCTAAAGAAGGAGCTCAAATAGCTAGGCTGGAGGGCTCTAAACCTCAAGTAGCTATCTTTGAGCAGCAAGATGAAATCAGAGATTCCCTCTCTAGGGATATCTCAAATTATGGAAATAAAGAAACAGAGGAAGAGTTAGTGAACACCCTGAAGATTAATGAAGAAGAACCTGAGCAAGGAGATGATGCTGAATCTCTTTCTCTCTGCAACTCTTCCATAAAGCACCTTCTTCAAATCAGGTAACAAATTTTCACTTTCACAGCTCTTCAGCAACCACACCTCCGGATGAGATACCGGAAGCCTGGACAAAGAAGGTCCAAAGGTTGATTGAATCAGCCCTGAAGTCTCAACATGCCTCTTTTAGGCAAGAGATAAAGCAGATGGAAACAAGGCACAACCAAATGATGGAAAAATCTGAAGAAAAGTATTCCTCAAATCTCAACGAGATAAGCAAATCTGTAGACAAAACTCTAGAGATTATTTCTCTATTGAGTAAGTCTGTGAGCAATACAATGATGGCTTATGCATCTGACTGCCATCTTCAATTCAAAGAAGCCTCTGCAATCAAGCAGCATATTGCCACATTCACTATCAACCTTCAGAAGCAGATGTCACTCCTCCAGATGGATATCAGATCAGCCTTGGCAGTGTCATCAGCAAACCAGGTTGTAACTCTAGATTACCTAAAGGTTCTTGCTGACAATCAAAAAGAAGCATTCAGGCTCTTCAGACACTTTGGCACCTTCACTGGGAACCACAAGCTTGAAGTGATTGTCCAACCCAGAAGTCCATCTCAAATTCCGAAGTTTCTGATTGAATTTAAACAAGGAGAACTCTCATACACTCCATCACACCTAAACATGACAGAGCTGATACTTGAAGTCCAGCAAAGCAATCCGGAGAACTCAATCCAGCATCTGTCAAACACTGAGTTTGATGGAACAGAAGCTGTAGGAACCATTGCCTCCCACTTCACAAATGATGCCCAAACAGAAGAGAGATATAACAACCTCAAGCGCATCCAGGAAGAGTGTGGAGTTATGCAAGGCATTGGTGAAGTTGCCGGATCATCCAAGCGCAAGAAGAAGTGAAGGCTCTTTTCATCCAAACAGGGGGAATTATTGAAAACGTTATTTATGTTTTTATGAAAACACCTTCTAGTTTAAACATGAGTTTTTTGTTTAAACATTGCTTAATACATCTCTTAATTATGCTTGAACATATTTCTTTTAAGTATGATTTTTTTGAGATTTATTATTGAGCGCATACATTCAGGGGGAATGTAATTCAGGGGGAACTTAACTGTTTTTGGCTAATATTTGTCTTTTGGCAATGAACTACTGATAAACTCTAAGCAATGGAAGATGGATACCTCAATTTTTTACCAGAGTTGGAGATCCCCGATTCAGGTATTCTACAATATCTGCCCTCCTAAACTTAGTTTCAATCCTTAGTTCATTTCCATCTTTGCTCTAAAGTACTGGTCCTTAGGATTTTTATAATGTATAGGACTTTGGAAAATTAGTACCACTTTACTTTTAAAAATGAAATTTATTTCTTTTGGTACTACCTTGTCCTAATTAGAAATTAGAACTATAGGAAATGAAAAATGATACTCCCTCCGTCCCCCATAGATCTTCTCATTAGCCCTTTTTATTTGTCCACCATAGATCTTCTCATTACCTTTTTTAACACTTAAAATACCACAACTACCCCCATTTACTTTATTTATTACATCTCACCTACCTGATTTAATACACTCCACCCATTTTCATTAAGGGTATTATGGTAAACTTTCACCTTTTTTCAACTCTCCTAAAAAACCGCAAAAAGTCAAAATGAGAAGATCTTACGGGGACGGAGGGAGTAGATTTTATTTTGGGCCTTGAGAACCCAATAGGAATAATTTCCCTTTAGTACATGGATTTTTTGGGCCACTCTTTTGGGCTTAGCAAAACCAAAGCAGTTACGTTTTTCAAACCAAACCGAACAGATCTCATTTGAAACAGTTTCAACACATTGGTAACCGGTAAAAGATTCTTTCAACTTGGCAAAATTCAACTCCTTGGGAGTTGAAACTCTTTTACTCTCACCGTTCCAACTACCCACTAAATGGAACCCGTGAACCTCCCCTTCTCAACTTCTCCTCCTATTTAAACGAAGCCATTCCAATCCATTCCTATCACTAACAACTCTTTCAACATGAAAAGTCTTCAAATTCACTGTCTAAGAAAAACACCAAGAAAAATATCCTCAATGGAGAAATTTTTCTTTCTCACCCTCATAGACGGCAATAGAGAAAGCCTGGTGAGAAGAAAAGATATTCAAGATATTTGGTGGGAATCTCGGCAGTAGAGAAGATATTTGGTGGGAATCTCGCATATTTTTGCATCTCGCCACATATATATATCTTCTTCGGAACAACACTCTCTCCATTTTCGTTTCTCAAGACAAGACTTGATTTAGGAACTGTTGTAAATTGAATTGTATTTGTTTAAGAGTTTTTGTTAACAAGCTGTATGTTATGAGAAACTAAAAAAAGTTATAAAATTAGTTCTCACTACAGCGACCGGAACTCTTAAACACTTGTTTGTCATCATCAAAAAGGGGGAAATTGTTGGGAAAAATATTATAGATTTTGATGATGATGTATTTAGACTGTAATAGGGACTTTAGGTCTTCCCCAATATTCAATGTAATTTTTCTTTTTAGAAATATTGTTAAAACCGAGTTCTTGAGATTTCCAATAAAGTTGTGATATTTCACTCTGTGGTTTGATGTCAATCTTTGAAGACTTAATCAAATTCAATGATATGGAAATTGGAATTCTTGATCGGATATGTCAGAGACAAGTAAGGAATTCTTAAAGCAGTTGATTACTTTGAAGATTCTCAAATCCGGAACACTTCACAGTAATCAGATGTCTTGCAATAACCCGCTAAAGGCTAAGTCATCCAGATCGGAAGACTAGCGCAGATCTCTTTCTCACCTGGAAGTCTATGAATGATTTTTCCGGAATTGTCAGCGAAGAACCGGATGCCTCAAGAAAGACCGGAATTCTCAGAAGCAGACAAGTGAGAAAAAGACTTAGAAAATTATCTAAGTCTTGAATGAAGAAATTCTACCCGTTGGTAAGGAAAAATCAATCTCTTGATTTTCAACGACTAGAGTGAGGATAATTAAGCTGATTCAAGAACAAATGACTTGAAGACAAAGTCTGGACCTCTCAAATTAAAGAGCTCGCCTAGAATTCCTAAACAAGCACTAGAAGACAAACTGAGTACTCAACTCAATAAAGAACTACAGTTCAGAATTCTTGAACAACAGCTAAAGGACGGATTATGTGAAAAAGGAATCCTCCTTCAAACAATTGGGTATGTCCAAACACCCATCCCAATGAAGAATCCTCAATCTCACTCTTCGTTCAAAATTAAAGCCAGCAAATGCAACGGATAGTCTATTCCCTTCAATGGATAGATTATTTACCCAGCTATATATAGCTTCCACGGAAGACTGGAGAAAGCATATAGATGAGATAGAAATCAAGATTACAACAACAACAAGCTACATCTATCTCATTCACAGTTAGCCAAAAAGCTTGAAAAAGAGAGATCTCTAAACTCCTTATCTAGAAGCAAACTTCTCCTCCTTCCAAAGAGTTATAGTGTAAACACTTGAAGGTTTCCTTGCCTCAAGTACCACACCACGTTGAAGGATACATCTTTTAATCAAACTTCTTGATTAAAAAGGGGGTACACCAACTTTCCTGCAAGTTGATCTTGCAAGTCCTATTGTTTGGATCTTGCAGTTGTTGAAAAAGCTTGACCTTCGAAGGAACATCACAGCCAGCACGTGTGCAGTAGCAATATTGGCCTAGCGAAGATATACCGTGCTAAAATTCACACAAGTATAATTGTTGGTTCATTATTCAACTACCAACTACATATTGGATTTTGAGGACGTAGAAGGATTACCCCACCTTTGAACCTCGTTAAAGTATGCGTGTCTCTCTCTCTTTTATCTTTACTCATATTTGCAATTATATTAAATGTGAAACTAACCCATCCATATTGATTACTGCTCGATTAACCCACCAACTTCCGCACATAATCTAAGGTTCACAAGAACTCTAGATTAACACTCATTTTTACGTTTTCAAAAGAAACGAAAAAGTTTTTAAATTATAACAAAGTCTATTCACCCCTCCCCCCCTCTAGACTTTGTATCTCACCACTTTGGGACCACCAACAAGATTTTCTAAGACCTCCGGAAACATTATTGGTGGCCTGCGATGAAGAGAGAGATCACGGAGTTTACGGCGCGATGCTTGGCATGCCAGCAAGTTAAGGCTGAGCATCAAGTTCCGAATAGACTACTGCAGGAGATTTACGATTCCTGAGTGGAAGTGAGATCAGATCACCATGGACTTCGTAGTGGGGCTACCTTTGTCGCCTCGCAAGAACGATACAGTTTGGGTCATCGTGGACTGATTGACGAAGTCCGCCCATTTACTTCTGATACGACGAGATTTCTCCCTACAGCGTCTGGCAGAGCTGTACATCTGCAAGATCATACAGTTACATGGAGTTCCCTCATCTATCATCTCGGATCGCGACCCGCGTTTCACCTCACGGTTCTGGAAGAGCCTACAGAACGCTTTGGGCTATGATCTACATTTTAGTATGGCCTTTCACCCACAGACGGATGGTCAGTCCGAGAGAGTCATCCAGATCCTCGTGGGTATGATGCGCGCCTGCATGATCGATTTCGGGGATAGCTGAGAGCGTTATCTATCGTTGATGGAGTTCGTGTACAACAACAGCTATTAGGCTAGCGTTCGTGTACAATAAAAGCTATAAGGTTTTCTTAAAGGTCTCTCTTTGCAAGAGAGTCCTACATTTCGCAAAGAAGGGAAAACTCAGTCCGAGGTTTATAGGCCCATACCCAATCACTGAACGTGTGGGACCTGTAGCATACATGCTCGAATTACCACCCGAGTTGAGAAAGATTCACAACGTGTTCCACGTGTCTATGCTCCGAAGGTATCGGTCAGATCCTTCTCACGTGATTCCAGCTGATATGGTCTTTCTCGATGAGAATCTTACATACGAGGAGGAGCCGGTAGAGATCCTGGCTCGTGAGATCCGTCAACTGTGGAACAAAACCATTCCGTTGGTCAAAGTTCTTTGGAGAAGTCACTCCATTGAGGAGGCGACTTGGGAAATCGGAGAATCCATGCGCACCCGTTATCCTCATCTTTTCAGTGACCAATGATCAGGTAAATTTCGAGGACAAGATTTTTCTTAAGGGGTGGATAACTGTAACTCCCTGCAACCCGGTCTATTAGAATTGATTAATTTAATTAATTAATTACTAACTCGGATCGGGGTTGAGAACATTAAATCCTTAGAAACATTATTCGATCACGTCATAATGTTTATCTTGATTGTCTGATTCTAGAAATGCAAACGGATCTCGATTCAGACCCGTTCGGGGGAAAAAGCGTGCACCATTCAGGTCAGATTTTACTTTATAAAGGGAAACAACCCCTCATGTAATCCACACACCCAACTCACACATTCACACACCCATTCATTTTCCTTATTAACTTCCTTCATCATTTCTCATTACTCTCTTAAATATAAACCCCCTCCCCATTCATTCTCCCCTTACCTTGGTAACCCCCAAGGCATTCAAACACCACAACTCTCTCTCTCTCTCTCTCTCTCGTTTCGGCCAACCCACAGTAAAAGCCAGGCGAGGAGGTTTCCTGCGATAAGGAGAACAAGAAGGGAGAAGAGAAGAAGGCCTACGCGTGAGGCCGTTCGTTGTCTGTTCGTTAGTCGTTCGTTCATCCGTTTCCATTTCGTCAATCCCTGCGTTAGAGGTGAGTACGTTGCCCTCTAACTTTAGAGTTCATAGTATAATCATATCGTTATATTCATAGGATTACCCGACTAAATCTACGTAAGTCCGCATTATCATGGTTTCCCTGTTATTTAGACTATCCGATTACCAACTTGTTAATATAGACGTTTGAAACCTCGTACATTCATAAAATTACTTAACATGGAAATATAAACATTCAGATCGAAAACCTCCAACACAATAGTTATAATCAAATAGACAAAACGAGAATCTGCGAGCCATGATGATCGAGTTACAGGTCATGGTAATCGATTAACAAGCTACGCTAGACTTCTCGTTGAATCAGCAAGGTGTGACAATCGATTATCACATGGGTGATAATCGATTATCAGACCTTGCGGATTCCTGAGCCAAAGCTGGTTTCACATGATAATTGATTATCACATAGCAATAATCGATTATCGGCCTCTCAGAACTTGGGTTTCCTGAACAGATCAATAGGACAATCGATTGTCATGAGGTGACAATCGACTATCATGGTTTGTGGAACATTGGAACAGAAGCTGCACAACATGATAATCGATTATCAATAATGGATAATCGATTATCAGCCTGTTGTGAACCCAAAGCCATCATGTTGAACGAACCATTTCCATACAGAATCAAACACATATGTATGCGTTGAATTTAACCTCATTCATCAAGCAATGCATTCATATCATCACGTATATCCTAGACACATGTTTAGGATCATGGAACACTTACATACCGCGACAAGAGGTCAGACCTAGTGTGCCTCTTCTGTGGGCCCGTCCAGGAGTCTGCGGGATCCAACAGGTTTTCATCACGAGGGCTTGTGTACGTACATGGTAGCTAGGCTTCCAGCTATCACCTACATTATCTAGTCTCCATCGGGAAGACTAAGGCGTTCCTCAGCTCATCTACCGCGTGGGGATGATCACCGAAGGGCAGGGGGTCCCTATGCAGTCTAACTCATGCATCATGATTATTTGGCATTGCATCACTGTTTATTCATAAACTATTATTCATCAAAATTATATGCGGTATCTCGTACTTTAGTACAGGTACAATTATGTTTATAACAATGTGAATGCACTATGCGTTCTACTGTTAGATTACCACTGAGATTTTGCTGAGTATATAGCGTTGTTTTTGCTATACGTAGGTAGGCAAGAGGAACATGGAGCCTGACCCGGATGATTGGGAACCCTATTTATTATCTATTTAATGATAACAACGTTTATGTCTTGAACCCACCATTGTCGTACTTCTTTATTTATGACTTAACATTTATTATTTACAATTACTCCTATTATGGGACAAATCCTTTAAAGTAATTTATTTTCATCATTTAATAAAGTATGCCAAGAGTTTTCGGTTATAAGAGCAATGCAAGGGTTGTCCTTGTAGATGGTCCTAAAAACCGTCTACGTAACCTCTCCGGCTCGTTGGGCTGTGGCGAACCGGGTTCGCGGGACGGAGGGTGTTACAGGCCAAATCATTATTTCCATTAATAACCAGACGCTTAAATTATAATTAGAATAAGGCAATTCACAACCAGACACTTATAGTATAATTAGTTTAAGGCAATTGACAACAAGACACTTAAATTATAATTAGTTTAAGGCAATAAATTTCTAGGTGCTTAAAATATAATTAGTTTAAGGCAGTTTATAATGAGACGCTTAACTGTAGTTAGTTAAGGCAACAATAGATTAACAGAAAGTCGGTTTACACCCTAAGAGGGGGGGTGAATTAGGGTGTTTGCAAATTTTTTAATAAAAACAAAAACTTATGCGCAAAGTAGTAGCGGAGAAAGAGCAAGAAAAGTATAAAATATAAAAATACAACACAAGCGATTTTATACTGGTTCGGGAACTCCCTACTCCAGTACCTCGAGGCTCCTCCTCAAGGATTTAACCTCCACTAACTTGTTTGGCTTCACTAAGAAGACTCAAACGAGGTTTGGCAAACAACCCTTGCCAATAAGCAAACGAGATTTTACTACAGCTATCTCAACCGTTTACAACCGAAGATTTTAAGGCTATCTTCAACCTTACAATGAGGATTTAAAGGCTATCCACACCTTTTACAAATCAATAAAAGATTGGTGTTGCTTCTCTACCAAAATAATAACAAATATGAATTGGGTAGGAGAAGAACAAAAGATTAAATCAACAACAACAAAAGCCTATAGGCAAGATATGAAATAATGAAGCACAAATGCCCTTCTGTGTGAGTGTATAAAAAGATGAAAGCTTTTTACTCAAAAGAGTAAGAAAAATAAGAACAAAGCTTTAAGAACACTCAAGAATAGAGAAAGAGGTTTTAGAATTAATTGGAAAGTTGTTGTGATTAAAGTGAGACTTAGAGGGGATTATATAGGAGTTTGGAATGTTAAAATTTGAGTTTTTAACATTAAATGCCGTTAGGAAGTGATTAGGGGTGATTTAAATTTAAATTGGCAATTTGCTACAGTGCTGCCAACGGATCCGGTACCCTTCACGGTAGCGTCAGTACCGTCCGGTACATAGGTACCGTGACACACGGTACAACCTACCGTTAGGGGGTACCGTGTAAGCCATAGAATTGGTTCGGCTCTGGCGGTATCTGGGTTCAAACGGTCTGGCCAACCTTCCCAAACCTACCGACGGTACCCAGGTACCGTTGTCACGGTAGGGGTACCGTGTACCACCCAGGTGAAGCGTACAATGGTACGTTTACTTGGCTACCGGCGGTACCCTGGTGCCGTGTACACGCTAGCCAGGTACCGTTAGACCTGTGCAATTTTTACTAAACTCGTTTTTGTGTTCCGTTTTCAAAATAACCCCAACTAAGAATATATTTGATAGTTTAGAAATACTTTTTGAGTGATAGGGCATAAGTAATTCATTATAATATATTGTTACCTTTACACAAATATTTCTAAGCTCGTAGGAGTACATCTCGCTGATGCTAAACAAGCTAATAGAGGTTTGGCGTTTGGTTTAATCCTGCAAATGATGTTAGTAGCATTGGAAGACTTATTTGGAACATCAAAATGGTTACGGGGTACGGCATTCAAGGCCAATAATCTCCCCCTTTTTGATGTTGACAAATAAGGCTTTCGAATATAATAATCAAACGCACAAACATATCGTGAAAAGCATATATTGATTTTAAAACTCCCCCTAAGTTGATGCACGTGATATTTTGATAAAAACTCCCCCTAAATGTATGCATATGAAAGCCTAATATTTCTCCCCCTTTTGGCAACATTCAAAAAGGCGGGGTACCAAAAACATGAGTTTCAACACATAGGCATGCAAGTGAACTATAAGCATAATCATAAAGGGGTTAACAATCATAAAAGTGCATAAGTACGAGTTTTATACATAAGACATGATAGGAGTTTGAAACATAAATACATAATATTTTTTTTTAAAAAAAAACATAGATAAGTGAATGTTTGATCATTTTGTCAAATGCCCAACACTTAGCGACGACGTCTAGAAGCACGATCCTCATTTTGCTTTTGGCGATTCTCACGGTCCTCCATCTTCTTCATCCGATCCGAGAGGTCATCGAGGCTTTCCTGAAGTTTCCTCATCGGAGCCACTACGGTCTTGAGGATGAATTTCTTGAACTTCTTAAAGGGATTTTTGGAAGTTGAAGCCATGTGAGAGTGACGATGCATGAGAGAGGCCGAGGAAGCATGAGACGCTGACTTTGAGCGTTTGACCCGAGAAGCACGAACAGGGACTTCTGTGTTGGCATTTTCTTCGGCTTCGTCTTGGGGTGCTCGTGAAGTGGAAGGCAAAGATGACATGGAACGCCGAGGACCATACTCCGCTCGTGTCGCCGCATCAAGCTTTTGGAATTCCTTCTTCATGTAGTATTCCTCTCCGATCTTTACGAGGCCACAATACCCAAGGCACTCCGCATCAAGATAGCGGTTGCGGGACGGGCTCACTTCAAGAATTTCCCTCTTGGAAAAGATGTGGGTAAGAAGCATGCCATAGGGTTTGTTTTGGCGACCCGAGTTCTCGTACATGTGTTGGATGATAATGGATGGGAGATTGATTTTCTTGTGAGTGAGGAGGAGGTAAAGAAGAGTACACTCATAAATCCCAACTTGTTTATCTTTGTTAAGGACGGGGATGACATTTTCCTTGAGCATTTTGAGAAGAATGAAACAATTTGCGGTCAAGTCTTGGACGTTGAGCCGACGAAGGAAATAGTCCGGGTCCTCAAAGACATGGTCAAGAGCAATATTCTTGAGAACACGTAGGCAAAAATCCGCGTTGAAGTCTTGTGAGTCGGAAATCCACCCCTTTTTACAATCAGAGGAGACTCCTTGACGCTCTAGGTGGAACCACTCGGAAAGGTTTTGGGTGTTGAATCCGAAGGTTTTGCCGGAAACAATAGCGGTAATGGAAGGGTCTTGCTTATGGTATCTTAATGAGGAATAAAATTGATGAACAAGTTCTGGGTAAACGGGGGCGTGGAGTTGAAGAAAGAAACTCCATCCTTGTTCATGAATGAGTTCAAGAACGGCAACGGGTATGTCATCTTGTTTAAGAGTTCTCCCCTCGATGATATGTGGGTCGACGTAAGCCTTGAACCCTTCTTGAGCATCGACATGAACGTCGGAGACAATTTCGCTCATTTTGAGAGAAAATTGAGAATGGAAGGATTTTGGGAGAAAAAGTGAGAAATTGATACAAAATACCCGAATTGAAGAGAGTATGTGAAGAAATTGAACCTAATGTTTGAAGAAATTGAGGAATTTGGATGAGGAAATTACCTTGGCTCGAAACACGGGAGAGAGATGCCGAGAGAAATCGCCGGAAGTTGCAGAGCGAAACTGAGAAAATTGGTTCGATTTAGGGTTTTTAATGTAGGTTGACCCGCAGAGACGGTCGGTACCTTGGTACCGTGTATACGGTTTGCCTTACCGTGTCCAGCTACCGTGTAACGTTCAAAACCCAATTCCCTCTGGCGGTATCTGCGTCCAAACGGCATCCTGGTACCGTAGTAACGGTAGGCTCTACCGTGTGGGCGGTACTGGGTCCGGTCAGGGATATCGTGCCTCATCCTTAAGGGTTTGTGTCGACCTCTAGACGCGTGTTTTGAGCATTTGGACTTGATCAATATTTTTTTATGATGTAATGGGATAATAAGAACCTTAAATTTTACTTTAATTCAAGCATTCCCATTTCCCGACAAATATGTAAAAATTGTTTTTCATCCAATGGTTTTGTAAAAATGTGGGCACGTTGTTCAAGTGTATTTACATATTCAATTTGAATATCTCCCTTTGAAACATGATCACGTATGAAATGATGTCTTATTTCTATATGTTTAGTTCTAGAATGCAAAACGGGATTTTTGGAAATATTTATTGCACTTGAATTGTCACAAAAAACAGGCATTTTTGAAAATTTTAAGTTAAAGTCACCTAGTGTTTGCATCATCCATAAAATTTGAGCAACACAACTACCCATAGCCACATATTCCGCTTCAGCGGTGGATAGGGCGACGGAGTGTTGTTTCTTAGATGACCAAGACACTAGTGCATGACCTATGAATTGACATGTGCCACTTGTGCTTTTCCGATCAATACGACACCCTCCAAA